AAGGATCTAAGCTTTCTCTTTCAAACGCCAAAAAAACGAATTCAAAATCTTAAAAAATGGCAGAGTTACCGATTTTTAAAGTGGAAGGTGCAAACCAAATTTTTTTAAAAAAACTCCAAATATTTCAAAAACAGCTAAATTTAGGTATGGGAAAAGCTGATAAAAACTCCCTTAAAATAACCCGATTAATCCAAAAACGCAGTAAAAAATATACCTTTCCATTAAAAATAAAAAAGTTGAGACCGACTTCCGGTATAAGCGGAAGTGCCGCCATCTTAAAAATATTTTCATTTAGGAGGACTTAATGCATTATGGCTATGTACCAACTTTCAAATAAATACGATTATTGGAACTCCCAATACTTCTAATGTGGGGTTTAGACGGAACACCCTGTATACAGAGCTCTATTAGCTATGGAATATACCAACTTAAAGACTGTAGCAGATTTTTAGACAATAGCGTAATTAATTTCTAATAATTTAGGACGGAAAAGTGAACAACCGGATCGTCAAATGCATCCCCACTGTAGTTGAAACAAATCAGCATCGCATGTCAATGGACCCATTCGAGTCGATGTTGGCCAGCATGGGTTACCAAATCGAAGGGAGCGGTTTAGACGGATCGTCCATTCAGGAAGTACCAACGTGCCGAACTAGTTAATTTTTTAAAAACCATTAAAAATAGGTTTGATAGAAATTGTAATAAAATCGTTGCAAACGAATAAATTCACATTTTAGTCGTAAACAATCAAAGCCTTGCTCATTTATTTTGTACTTTTTAGAGGGTGCGTTTTATGTTGTTGATTTTTGAATAATATATACACAATACTGTAAATAGTATTTATGTTAATAACTTTAAAGATTTTTTAATTATCATGTAAACTGTAAAAATTAAACACTAATTTGGGGAAATGACGTTATTTTATTATTAACGATGAGCACTTTTAGCGATTTGTTCCTTCAAAACTAGAATACTGTTACGCTGTTCGGGTGGCAGCATTGCAATCTGCTCATCCGATAATTGCAGAACTTGCATAATAAGAGCCGCTTTTTCCTGATCTGAAGCTCCCGCTGTGCCCCCTATACTTGAAGCAACACTCGCAGCAGGGCGTGGCACTTGCGGCACACTCGGGGGCCCTTGTGGGGCCCTAACTGGTTGCGGAGGCAACGAGTTTTGCTGGGGGGCTAAAATCCGACTAAAAAACCATTCAATGATGATTATTTCACTTACGCATATTTTTCTGTCTTGGGTCGACTCGCTGTTGTTGTCTCGGGTCAGAGGGGAAGCTACCTGGACCTCCTCGTGGATCTCTATTAAAACTAAGTAAAAATATTAGTTGTTTTTTTTTAATTAACTGCCGATGTTTAATTACCTTTCAATTTTCTGATCCGGCTTTGTGAAACTATTTTAATGTGAGTGAAGGAATTTAAATTGGAATTATTTTACTTACTTTTCGACGAGTGGGGGTGGAAGGGGGTTGGGGAGTTGTCCGGGTAACGTCCGCATGTCCTGATCACCAAGGCGGCTGAGGCGGGGATCTGCCCCTCTAGGATCCAGTGACCTCAGATCCACGTCTTGTCCTAACAAAATTTAATTTAAATATAACATAGATTTCTTGCTACCAACCTACAAATACTACAAGGTGATCTAGAATTACTGTCTATGTTGGCAATACTGATTCAAATTTTTAAAGGATACCATTGTAGTACTCAATTTTTTGTAGTGTTATGAATTAGCTAACCGTTCAATCATGACGAAAAACATTTTTTTTGTTTTTTAGTTTTTGTTGAATTATTTAATTAAAGAAAAAAATACGTTTATTTGATTGAACACAATATTTTCATAATTTTAAAACTCATTCACCAACTAAAATTGCCATATTTTGAATTACGATAAGTCTTCGTTGCATGGGTGGAAATTATGCAGAGTTTAAAAAATCTGAAGTTTTGAGAAAAAGGTTAATTAAGTAGTTTGAGTTAAAAGCTCATTATTTCAAGCTATTGAGATAAAAAGTTGATTTTGAGACACAAAAACAACCTAAGATCCTGATGAAAATTGAAAATTTGAAGACATTTTGAAAAAAGTAAAATTAAGGTTTTAAGAAAAAAATTATGATTTAAAGAGAAATACAAAAAATCATCTCTTGTTTGATGAATTTATTGTATTTGAGATGAAATTTCAAGAAATAAAGAGTTAGAATTTTTTATTTATAAACTTAGAAAGGTTTTAAATGATAAAATAATTAATTTAAACTTGAGATCTTGAAGAATTAGTTCCGTGTTTAAAGAAAAAAATTAAGAACTCAAAATTCAATAAATTAATAGATTCTAAGAAAAACATTAGTGTTAGAAAAAAAAATCTAATGAAAATAATCTAAAACCTTAAAGATCTTCAAGATCCACAAAAAAACTTGAATTTTAAGAATTTTTTTACTGAAATATACTCTTATAATAGATTGCCAAGACTTTAGTCAAAAAAATCCTAATACAAACTTTCAAGATTTTTAAATACAAAGTCTGGATTTTAAACTCAAAGAATAAAACTCAAAATGTTCGCAATATGACACAAAAACAACCTAAGGTCATCATGAAAACTCAAAATTTTGAGACATTTTGAAAAAAGTAAAATCGAGGTTTTAGTGTAAAAACTGAAATTTAAGAAAAAAATGATGATTTAAAAAAAAATACAAAAAATTATCTTTGATGATTTTATTGTATAAAAAAAGTTTTAAACGACCTTAAAAAACAAAATTAAAAATAAATATTGAACAACAAGATTAAACATGTTGAGAAACAACATTAACATGTTGAAAAAAAAAACAAAAAAAGAGAGAGAATGTCAACAGATTTTAAACCTGAGAATTTGAAGAATAAGTTCCGTGTTTAAAGAAAAAAATTAAGAACTCAAAATTCAATAAATTAATAAATTTTTAAGATTCTAAGAAAAACATTAGTGTTAGAAAAAAAAATTCTAATGAAAATAATCTAAAACCTTAAAGATCTTCAAGATCCACAAAAAAACTTGAATTTTAAGAATTTTTT